AGACAAATCTGCCCATCAACTTCCCCACTTGTTACCTTGATAGGGAAGGCAATGATCCATCCTCTCTTGGGCATGAGGGAGAGATGCTTGCTTGCAAAAGAGTTTGCAAGAGTTTGGACTTTGGAGCAATGCGCATCAACGTTGAAAAAGGACCAATAAAAGACAACTCCTAAATTGAAAGAAATAATAAAGGGCATCCTCAAGAGTTCTTGTGCTTAATTGTTGTTGAGAAGTCCTCTAGTGCACACCTTGAATGTTCATCCCAAGGTAGTAGGTATGGTCCTCATCAAGGAGTTTGTACATCACAGTAAGATGATAGTAACGTTTACACATCTCCGTCTACTCTTCTTTATGCAACAAAGAACTAGAGTGCACCCCCCATTGATTTGTCTATCAAGTCGCATTGGTTTGAGTAGATTTACATAGGGACAAACAAACGCCTAAGTGCGTGGGAATTTGATAACACCCAAATTGGTGTTATTTGCCCTTCATATTTTGATTTTAGGGTGTTTTAGACAATATATGTGAATTAGGTACGAAAAAGGGCACAAGTGTAGCAAAATGGCAGGAAGCTGAAGATCACAGCCTGGACGTGGAAGATCTCGACCAAGACAACAAATCATGAAGAAGGAGAGAAGATCGAGGTAGGAGGACCATAGTTCACGACCGCGAACTTGGAGCCCTTGGGCGCGAACTTCGTGAGGCAGCCACCCAAGAAGGAACAAATACTTTCTATGGTCCGATCATAGTCACCATATTCCCTGATCGCGAGGAAGTTTGTGGCCGCGACTCACGGATCGTGAGCGTGAAGTCAGCCCACGAACTCCCAGCAGACGAAGACCAACACAGCAATGCGTGAAGATTGGGATCTCGAAGGAAAAGATCATGACCGCGATCACCCCTTGCTCGGTCGTGAACTTGTCCGTCCCCCTGAAGTTTATAAATAGAGGAACTCTTCCCCCATTTTGGGAGAGCTGATTTTGAGATAGAAATTTCTTGTTAGAGAGAGAGAAGCTGAAGGAAGTAGAAGAGGAGAAGAAGGAGAAGGAGGAGAAGCTAGAGGAGAGGAGTCATCTTCTTCAACATCAAGTCTTACCCAAATTCTTCTATGTATCTTCTTCCCTCCTTTATGGAGTAGTCTCTTAAGTTACTAGGGGTTCTAAACCCCAAGCACTAGTTTTAGGGCTATTATGTAATGAACGAAGGATTTTGAATGAATGTGTTTGTCTAGTTGATTTCAATGCTTCATCTAATTTAATTGTGTTTGGGTAAGTCTCCCTAATCTTCTTTACTAGCCTACTTGAGCTTCTACGCTGGGTATGGAGTTTTAAGTTTAGACAGGTATGCGTCGTCTTCCAGATTAGGGTCGTGCTGGACAAGGCGACTGTACCCCTGCCACAAGAACGCCTTCCTGGATGGAACTTGGGATGAATCCTCGGTGTGGATGATGACTTGATTTATACACATGTTTTTGTCAACTATTCCTATACCGTTTGAGTCTCATCTCTCGTGTTTTAGGCCAATTTCACGCTAGGTTGTTCTTTTTTGTGATATTTCAGGTCCTAGTACGTGAAGGAAGGTTTGGGCACGAGTTCGGGGTCGATTGTACGAAGTTGGAACGTTTGACGAAAAGCTGAAAATTCCACACGGGCATACCTAAATTCCACACAGCCGTGTGACTAGGTCGTGTGGAGAACCTTTATGTGGGCAAAGCCACACGGGCCGTGTAAGGGCCCTTTTTGGCCATGTGGGATTTCCAGGGAGTTCACACGAGCATGCCTAAATTCTACATGGCCGTGTGGTTTTGGCCGTGTAGTGTACCTGAAGTCATTAAATCGAACGCAACATTTTGGAGAGCCACACAGGAAGCTGGGGATTTCACACGGCTGTGTGATTAGGCAGAACTGAGTTTTAACCCAATTTTGGGTCTTTTGAAGGGGGGATCGATTTTCAGAGCTAGAAACAGAGTCCTAGAGAGAGAAAGTGCTAAGAACACACCCTAGAGGTGGTTTTGGAGCTGGGTTTCATCAATCAAGCTTGGATTTCATCCTTGGAGTGAAGATCGTCATCCTAGAGCATAGTCTTTCCATTTTGATGAGTATGACTACTTTGTTTTCTGTTTCCCTCTATCTCTCTATGGAGTAGAATCCTCTCTCACTTGGGTATGAAGAACCCTAGTTCCATGTGTTAGGGATATCGATTGTAATGACTTTTGATTTGTGATACTGCTTGATTTTAATCGATTGAAGTGTTTTGATTGAGTCAATTGAAGCCTGATCAACTTTTCCTGATTTCTGCTGCAACCTGAGATAGATAGAATCTGATTAGGTTGTTAGAGCTTCTTCAATCGGTAGTAGTGCATCGATTATACGAGAGTTAGTCGATTCACTGCTTTGTAATGGAATCCAATTCCAGTAGTGGAGTTCTGTGTTTATTGCCTCAGCAGTTCATCCTGGTGAAGGCTAGTCGCCTGCCGGTTAGTTTGTCTAAGAGAGCTTGGTCAACTTAAGAGATTCCAAGCTACTGTCGGATCTTCCGCAACTTAATCTGCAGTAAATCAACCAAAGGTAATTACAACTTTGACCTAACTAAGGAGCTAGGGGGACTCATTCCCGAGTGACTCTTCCCCTACTTAAGAACTTCGAACCATTTCCTGCTTTCTTACTGCTTTAGCTAAAACCAATTCAATCAACTTAGTTTGCTAGATAATAAACCATCATGGAGTAGGCAGTAGATCTAGACCCCGGGTTGATAAATAGAACTTGCCACTTTACTGCATTTCCGGGCTGCGATTACACTTGGTCGCAGTTTGGTGTTGTGTTTTAGCGTGTTAGTGGACGGTGGGTAGTACCCATTGAAATGAGCTAAGTTCTTAAAGCCCCAGATACGTAAGCCTATACCAAGGTGACAATGGGGTAGGTAGAGCGTGCTCGGAGGTGTGTGGATAATCACGAAGACGCACGGAAAAGAGCTCACTCACCACATTTGCCTAACCCAACATGTTAGGTCATTTTCATGATAGACCTAGGCTAGGGCGAGGGTTAGTTCCCCGATGTACCTGCTAATATCCTTGTTTATTCTCTCTACTAGTTATTTCACTTGAATCCTCCAACACAACCCCTTAAACCAATCGGCCAGATAACAACGTGGGAAGTAGGCTACGGTACCGGGACCCGAGTGAATACGACATTGATTTCCACTATATGACAACGCCATTATAGGTTAAACTTGATCTAGAATGTGGTAGTTATTGATACGTGCAAACTACTGACAATGGCCTGCATGGAATGAATCGATCGGGCCTTGCAATAAGTTTTGTACTATTTTACGTAATATTCTCTTATACCTCGGAGCTTAGTTGTGTCAATCCACGTACTGGCCTCTGCATGGGTTGCACATGCAGACTCAGGTAAGCCCAACGATCAGTGGCAGACCCAAGTATGCCCCAGATTCGTCGGCCGACACACCTTCGTCCAAATTTTTTGTGACATACTCCAAAATCGCCGGTACAAAAATGTGGTTCCTGAACTTCCAACACACCTCCGATAATTGTAACTGACACACCTACATCATGCTTAAAAACATATTGTTACAAAGTTACTAAAATATGTAAATATACCTGATTTATTTTATACTTAATTAACAATAATGAATAAAATCATTTTTAGTTTGTCTTAAGAACCCACAACCCCATTTTTAATTATGAGACACGACTTTCACCTCTTGCCCTTTATCAAACAAAAGAAAATGATTTCCCTTTTAAGAATAAACTGGCCTACACCCCTAGCCTTTTTATTTAAAAATTCAAACTCATGTCAATGAAAGGTTATAGTTTCAATGAATTGCAAGAAATTGATGACGTAGTCAGACTAATGGTGGAAAGAAGATATGATACTTATTATCCTTTAGTTTATTTGATTTTGAAGTTAGTACTAACTTTACCTGTTGCAAGCTGCGAAATGACTTTTTAGGTATGAATGATAAAGAACAATATTTCGAATCGGTTGAGTGTCCAATTCATGAATGATTTTTTAGTTGTGTAGCAAAATGATTTGTGTGCAACATAAGCGATGAATTTATTTTACAAACTTTTCAAAACATGAAAATTTGTAGTGATTCGTTATAAAAGCCAATGGGGTTCGATGAAAATTTTGAGAAAGAACAGACATTCTCGTAATTTGTATCTAAGAGTCCATTTATTTTGAACACGTTCTTTCCATGACTCTTCTAAATTTTATAATTTTTTTATTTAATAACTTATATTATCAACCTACATTTCTATTCAAGAATTCTGGATCCACCACGGCCAACAATAACTTCTTCTTTACATCGATCCAAAATTTCAAGAAAGTAAATGTACAAACACCCATAGGAAAGACTAAAGATAGATATTTGCGGGCAAGGTCATTTATCTTTCATTCAAGCAATTGAAACTGTCATGTTCTGCTTTTTATATTTACATGATTATTATTATTTAACCCAGGAAAAATTGTGGACAAACACATTTCAAAGTAGAAGCTCGTACGCTCTTTCTTTCTTTAGACTAAATGGGCCTGTTATTCCCAATTTGAACGTTTTTCATAAACACCATACATGAATAGATGATGATATTGAGTGGATGCGAGGGGAAGACAATTGCATTACTGCAGCAGGCGACTTTTCAGTTTTCCCTACTCGTGACCCTTCCTTTCCGTTTTGCTTCGTTGGAAAGAAACCAAACATACAACGACCACGTCCACCGGTAATTACAATAACACGCTATTTCTACGTTTGGAAAGTAATTCTTCTCCAAGGTAGAATTTATCCCACTCTATTTCTAGGTTTGGAAAGTAACCCAACCTATAAGGGAAAGTGAAGATTTAATTAGCAATCCTTGTTTTCAAGTTAATATTTCAAAGCTTGACGATTTCCAAACAAACTAGAGGTTGCCCCTTTAGCAAGTCAGAGAAGTTGAATCGATATAACATAAAATTTTCTTTTGCGTTCTCATTTTGCGAGTTAATTATTTTTACAATTTAGTTAAAAAATAGTGCATACGATCATATGTACATCAATGAAAGTGAGCTCAAACATAATTCTCTCATTATATACACCTACTAGTTTATTACCATTACTATTGAAATACATAACTATTTCCTCTTCCTATTTAATTAGGTATCTAGCTATAACCTGCTACATATCTCTTCAAGGAAAAAAGAAGGAATTCACCAAAAAAATAGAATAGATTTTTTGCTGAAGGGCTCAGATTAACTCATGTCCTCATATGATAACACTATGATAAGTTATCAGATGAATAAGAATTAAGGGAAGCAGTTAAGGATGATATATCGAATTCATTAGTATTTACTATTTACTGTGAAGATTAGTTTGGCAAGGGTGAGAAATATCAGAAAACAGCAAAATTCCGAGTATCATCGTCGTCACATGGAGGTCCATTATTTTCCATTATTTTCTCCTCTTCTCCTCCATGATTTCCTTCTGGCCTACAGCCGCCGTCACCTACTGGATTCATTTCCTCCTTGTGCACTTCTCCGGCGCTAAATACTCTCTGGACGAATGACTCCACGTCGATGCTCTTATTTACATTTCCGCCCTCCTCCCTGTCGGCGGCCCAAACACTGGTCGGAATGTAGGGCGGCCGCGACACCTCCACCACCGAATCCCAGTCCAGCCCTTTGAAGAACTCGTGGCCCTTGATCTCCTCCACCGCCATCCTCTCCCTGGGATCCTTCGCCAGAAGCTTCCCGATCAGGTCCCTCAGCGGATTCGGCTCCCCCGCGAGGTCCGGCGGCTGAGTCAGGATCCGGTAGAAGGTGTCCTTTCGGTTCGCCCCGCGGAACGGCGTCCGTCCGTACAGCATCTCGTACATCACCACCCCCAGCGACCACCAGTCCACCGCGAAGTCGTGGCCGTACCCCTGGATCACCTCCGGCGCCACGTACTCTTCCGTCCCCACGAACGAATTCGATTTCGATTTCCCCGCCGCCGATGACGACATTGAGTGCTGACGCTCCGGCGGAGGGTCGGCGAATTCCTCCGGCGTGATCCCCGAGGAACACTTGCAGAAGAGCTGTAAACTCAATGCCCGTTTCCGCCGGGCGGAGCAGGACCTCCTTGCCGCCTGAGATTTGCGAGGAGGAGGAGGAGGAGTTGGCGGAGGGAGCTCGGTGGAGAGGTCGAAATCGACGAGCATAATGTGGCCGTTCTCTTGAATCAGAATGTTCTCCGGCTTCAGGTCCCTGTAGGCGATGCCGGAGTTGTGGAGGTACTCCAACGCCAGAACCAATTCCGCAGCGTAAAATCTGTCGAAAATCATTTTCAATTTTCAAATTTCATCCACCAAAATCGCATTTCATTTCATAGAAAACGGAATGAAACTCGATCTGTTGCAGGAATCATAAATAAATGAATTAAACGAAAAATGAATTACCTGATGATGGCCGGCGAGAACATATTCTCGGTCTGTTGCTTGCGGAGGTGATTAAGGTCCCGGCCGGGGCAATAATCGATAGCGTAAGCGACGATCTTGTGGGTGGTGAGGATGCCACGGAGGCGAGGCAGAAGCGGGTGCTTGAAGCGGCTGAGGAGTCGCTGCTCCAGCCAGATCCGCTTGTATTCGCCGCCGTCCTTGGCGTCGGGGCTCTTCTTCTTCTCCACCAAATCACGGAGGATGACCTTGAGCGCCCAGGACTCGCCGAAGGGATGATTCCTCACCAGAAACGCGACGCCTTTCGCCCCGCGCCCCACCGGAGAGATCACCCTGAGACCGTCGAGGTCGAGGATGGGGACGACCGTCTCATTGTGGTTGGGGCGGTCGTTCATGGCGACCGGCCGCTGGCTGGCAGGCAGGAAGGCGGCGGAGGAGATCAGAGGGAGTCGGAGCTTTTTTTAATTATTTTTTGCCGGGTGGGTTGGAGTTGATCGGCACCGGGGAATTAGGAGAAGAACTAACTTTTTTTTTTTATTCTTTTTTTTTTCCTTGAAATTCTTGGGAAAAAAAAATTGGGCTCCTCTGGTGATCCGCTAATTCTGGGAAGCGGAATGGTTGGTTTGTTCATTGAAATGAAATGGAAGAGAGAAGAGACATTAATTGGTAGTTATAAAGGAAGGAAAGGAGGGAAAGGGGTCGTTGGTGGACTGGTGCTGGTCTTAGCTTCTCGAACAAGGAAGGAAGGATTCTTTCTTTCGAGGGAGTTGCAGTTGCCCAATATCGCCTTTTACACTTATGCCAGTTTGCCAGCATTACAAATCTTTCCTGCGGAGGACTTTTACCTTTTTTTAGAGGTTGTTTGCTTCAAGGATTTGGTACCAAAAAACCAACTATCAAGGATTTAGGTACAATCCGTTGTTTGCTTGCATCTTTTTTGGAGACCAAATCCGTGGGGCCCACGGATTTTAGGGTCCAAATCCGTGGACCCCACGGACTTATAAATCCCACATGTTGATGTGAGATTTGGAATATGACATAAATCCTTGATGACATTTTACCCATATACCCTCATGCACTTTTAATATTCCAAGGTTGCCTTCAAATTTAACTATTATACATTATAATTAACAATAAATGAATAATATAAACGTTCAATTAATGTGCAAACATGAGTTAGATTTTGTTATATAATTTCTTGTGTTCTAGTTTTCTTTGACCTTTTCATGGAACGTGTAATTCTCTGTTCTCCCGATTCTAATATATGTTGTTATATGTTACTTTTGAAAAGGAGGACAAAGAATTGGTAATTGATTATCTTACGTTAAAAGTTAAAACGAAATTTTCTCGTTTATTATATTGTCCATGTGGCAACATTATGCTTATTAGTATGTATTGTCCTTGTTTTGTGTACATATCATAAACATGTCAAACATATAGAAAATGATAGTAATGTAATTTTGAAGTTTTGTCCTTGTTTTGTGTACATATCATAAACATGTCAAACATATAGAAAAGGGCAGTAATGTAATTTTTGACTTCAAGTAGTAAATCCCACATCTTTAAATTCATGATAAAAACATCCCAACAAACAAAGGATTGTTACAAATCCATGATGCATCAAATCCTTGATAAATCCTTAGGTTTTTAAATTACAAAACCCTCGTTTATAAATCCATGAAGCAAACGACCCCTTAATATATATTCCTTGGCCCACATTTGGGATTTTGGTCCAAACATCTCTTCATTTACAAATAGTTTTTGGAAAGAAGAAATTTGTGCCATTTTAATTTTAGTGGCCGCGTCGGCGAGTTGGGCTCTTCCTTGCATGACACGACATTGGCCGATTGAAATGGTTCTCCTAGGAATGTTAGCACTTAGAAGGCAAGTCACAATTGGAATACCACATGAATATACTAGATTTGGGCCTGTTCGTTGGGCGGATTAATCAATACTATACAGAGTAATAGTAATTATCCGAATAAATTATTTGTTATAATGAAATGATTCAAATTATTCATTTACTAAAAGTAAAAAAAAAACAACATACATAATAAGTTTTACAACATCTTTATAATTCATGGATAAAATCTCTTATCAAAAGGAAACACAATAACTCATGTTGGAAACCGATTTTAAAATACTTAATATTCAAAACGCACTCCAGTTTACTCTTTGAGGTTAGAAATTAATGTAAATTATTTTTTGGATTTCGTTTTCATTTCTATGCCATAAAAAAATCTTCTCCACACAACTTAATCATCATTAATGAACTTTATATTTATCATCAATAGTCTTTTCCTTTTTGCCATGCATTATAGTGAAACAAAAAATTAATGGTAAAATGTTTGAAAATGTGAAACATCTTTTACGATAGTAGAATTTCACCTCATCCAAATCATAAATATTATCAATCATTCACTCTTTACTCCCATCTTTGAAATTTCTATATCGACCATCAATAATCTCTCTCTTTATCTCAATAATACAATTTTCTTCATCACTGAATTTACTACCTGTGCTATTAGCATACACTTCTTCTCTTGCATTTTACTGAATGCAAAAATTTAAGGGGAACATTTTTAGAATTGTGAAACTTGGTTTTCAAGAACTTAAATCTATCAAGTGCATGTCATGAAATTGTCTGAGATTGCATTTTTTTCATCCTTAATTATCTTAAAAAACTATGCACTCACTTATGGGGTTCGCGATGTTGTAATCGATGAGCTTGATATTAAAATTTAACCTCGTGCTCTTAGTTTGAATGCGATGATGAGGTGAAAGTTATTTCATTTTGTCATGTTCTTTTAGTAGTTTTTCAATATACATTCCAAAAGTTTAGCTCCCTCTATATACAAACATATAAAGTCAGATCAAAACATGTTGTCTACAACTCGCAGCTAGTTCTGAATATATAAAATAACATCAATTTTTTTTTACAAAAGATAATCATATATTGATTGGAAGAATAGGTAGTTACATCCTAGAATGAATCCATGTCAGAAAATTAAATCAACGACTCATAGTCGAGTACAATGAAAGGGTCTTTCTAGCCACCAAATAGGCTACCCTATTACTACGCTGACCTACAAATCGAACACTAAACCCTGTATGTATCGCAAAATAGCCCACAATCTCCTCCAGAATAGCCCCACTCTAATTGTCCTGGGTATCAGCCCGATTGATCTGGTCGATAATCACTTTGGCATCACCATCCAACCTCACCTCCCTAAATCCCTGGCTAAGACACCAGAGAATAGCCTCACGGAGAACAAGCAGCTCAATAACCATAGGATCATCAATATCCGAAAACTGCACATCTTTAGCCAAGAGGACTTCCCTCTCTTTTTTCAGGATAACCATCCCACCCGTCGAGTGGGATCCACTCTTAGTGGCCCCATCCCACATACAGACTATCGAAGTCGGAGGCACAACACTCAAAATATGTGTTGTTGGGATGGAAGATTGGAGACCACAGTCCATTGTAATCCACTTATGATATTGTTGGTTGAATTGTTGCATTAGAGCTGAGATCCCAAACTGTTTTCCCTCAAACAATGCAGTCAAAATCGAGATTTTAAGAAAAATAAAAAACTTAGGTGAAATAGGAATCGAAAATTAAAATCGTAAAATTCTAAGGTTCATAATCAAATTAACACTTTATACACCAAATAGTTATAACAATGCATATTCTGAATAACAGTCAACCACATATCACTTAATTAATTCTCAAGGTAAATTTGTTTACTAAATAAACATAAAGAAATCAATAGATTTGTTCTTGCACATAATATAAAAACAAATATGAGCAACCTCATACCTCATAGAAATCACTTAATCTAGTTAATAGCTAAGATTAACAGAAAATTGTTATGATCAACATTAACATCTAAGTTCTCAACATCATCATCCTCACCCTCACCCTTACTCTCGTCCACATAAAATCCTTGCTTATTTGCTTGAGCAATGATATCAATATTATTAGAGTCACATGAAGTACTTTCAATTCCATACATATTTCGTTGACTGCCATCATCCGACAAAGGTAATTCATTGGTTGATACATTCCCTTTTGATCGAAAGAAGGTCAAGGATGTTGGTGCTTAAGGTTTGGGAGATGAACAAAAGGTTGCGAGGGGATGGGGATTTAGCTAATTGTGAGGGTGAGGGAAAACAAACTAACAAACTAATTGGAAGGATGATGGAGGAAATCATTGATGGAAGGAATTGTGCTTCGGCGCGAGGAAGTGAAAGAAATGAGGAAGAGAATTCAAATCAATTGAGGCTCACCTATCGAGTTAGGGTTGTGTTGTCCACGTTGGTTAGGGAGAAATGAATTTGACACGGTACATGGGCGAAATATGATGCCATCAGCTTGATTTTTGTTCCAATTGACATGAACCTTGAAATCGTACAAAATCATAGATGAGGCAGCCTTGACCAATATATTCGAGTCTCGAATGATCCTATAAAGCTCGTGCCACTGGGCAATCAAGTAACAAATGTTCCATCGTTTCTGAATCCTCCCAACAAACCACCCACGGAGGAAGCACTGAGACATCCTTATCAATTAGAGCTTCCGTCGTAGGCAGGATGCGATTGAATATTTGCCATACAAACACTTTCAGTTTGGGTGGAATATTGGACTCCCGCAATCAAATTGAGCTGGCCCTATCCATCCAACTAGCCATTGATTTCCAACAACCTCCCTGTTATCTATTAAGACGGCAAAATGATAGGCCAAGTGAACAGTGAAACCCATCAGCTGTGGCATGCCAGATCAGCCGATCCTCAACGTTCTGACGAGGAAGAGGGATAACTTTGATGGCACAACACGTTGGTGGGTAAAACCAGTGTCTAAGTTTCAGGTCACACCAACGCCCCTCCTCTTGACAAATAACCTCCGCTACCGGCGAGTCTCCATCTTCAGGAAGTACCTGAGGGTTATATAGCGTGGTATCGGGATGCAACCGAGGAATCTAATTGGAATGCAACAGAGAAGCATTCTGACCATTGCCAATCTGTCATCTTAACCCCATCACTAATAATTTCTGGCCATAAAGGATACTCTTCCATCCTCAAGATGGGCGAGAGCGTGCAGTGACATTGAGGAAGGTCCGGTAGGAAATACTTCCCTTTCTAAACCTGGTCTAGGAGAGACAGGGGTTTGTTAGCCCAATTTTGGCTATGAGAGCCTGATTAAATTGCTCGAATTGACAAAACCCCATACTCCCGTCATGCTTACTCCGACACATATTCAACTATGACATCCATTATATCTTAGACTGGACCTCTTCCACACCCCACTAGAATCTGGCCAAATGTTTGTCCAAGAGCTAACAAAGGGATAGAGGCAACTTGAAACATGACATAACATGTAACGACAAGGCTAAAACTACTGATTTAATCAAAGTCTCCTTAGCCGCCCATGACAATGTCCTTAGTTTCCATCCTTGTAGTCGTTCCAACAATTTCTCCCCCAAATAGCGGAACGTTGCAATTTTAGATTGGGCTATCAGCGTAGGTAACCCCAGATATTTGTCTTGGACCTCCACAACCCCAACACCCAGAATCTGCGCCAAGAAATCTTGTTCCGGCAGTGCAATAATCTTACTAAAGCAAAATGCCAACTTAGCCAATTTCCTTTGGCCACTAAGTTCCTCATATTCATTCAAAACCTCGATCAAATTCTCACATTCCTAGAGAGAGCCTCTAAGGAATAAATAAGAATAATTTTCAAATAACATATGTGAGATTCGAGGAGCCCTAGGGGCCATTTAAATCCTTCTACTTTCCCTTCCGAGATAGCTTTCCGTAGGAGCGACGCAAACCCCTCCATGCAAAGCCCAAACAGGAGAGGAGATAGTGGATCCCTCTACTGGAGCCCCCTGGAGGATGTGAAGAAACCCAAAGGGGTGCCATTCATGATAATCGAAAACGTTTTTGATCTAAGGCATTCATGTATCCAGCCTCTCCACACGGAGTTAAAACCCATCTTGTCCAAAACTGCAAGAAGAAATGGCCATTCGACTTTATCATAGGATTTTTCAATGTCAACCTTTAGAGCCATGTACCCCTTATTATCTCGCGTTCTGATTTTCAAGCAGTGCATTAACTCATGCCCGAGGAGGATATTTTCAACAATCTGTCGTTCTCGGATGAAGGCATTTTGACCTATCGAAATGATATGTGGTAGGAGGCATGCCAGTCTTTCATCCATGATTTTGGTTATAACTTTATACACAAACTGGATAAGCTGATTGGCCTGAGTTGTCTCATGGTCTCCATATTATCCAATTTGGGGATCAATGTCAGCCAAGTATGATTAAAGTTACGAATCATCTTACTCGTAAAGAACGAACAAACCGCCTCAATCACAGAGTTGCCAACAATATCCCAATATGCCTTGAAGAATTTCCCCATGAATCCATAAGAAATTGGAGCCTGCTTCGATCCCATCGAGAAGGTCGTTTTACTCACTTCATCAGGCAGGACTTGAGCCGTAAGACTTGCATTCATTTCTGGTGTTACGCTATGGGCTACAGAAAGGCCAGCCACCTGATCAATCATGTTCAGCACCTGGTTCTCCAAGGTGAAAAAATTATGATAAAAATTAACGGCAATATCTGCCTTCCAAGTTTCCTTAGCGACCCATATACCCATTATCATTACAAAGGCCAAACACAAAGTTTCGTTTCCTACGAGCCCTTGTAAGTTGTAACTATATGGAAATACAAAGTATTTTTTATCACCCTTTTTCAACCATTGGATTCTAGACTTCTGTTTCCAATATTCTTCCTCCGCCTCCCATTGCCTATTTAATTAAGTTTTTAGGCTCCTCACTTTATCCCAATTAATAGGATGAATTAAATTAACTCGATCAATTTCGACTAGGAGGGTTTTGATGTTACAAAGAGAATTAGTAGTGCCCGCCCTACTCCAGTCATGGAGTAGATGGTGTAATTTCTTAAGCCTCTCACAGAGATGGTACATCGGAGTTCCCTGGATTACCTTCTGCCAAACATAAGTCACCATGGCCTTAACCTTGGGATTATCAGCCCAGCGAGCATTGAAACAGAAAAGGGGGCGACTATTGTAGACATAGGGTTTACCTGATAGGAGCAGAACCCTATGATCATATCCCTGATCCGTGTAGTGTTTGATAAGGGTATCTAGAAAGAGCTCAATCAAATATTATGTACATAGAGCTCTATCCAGTCTCTCTCAAACACAAGCCGCACTCGTACGTTTGTTTGTCCAAGTAAATTGGTCACCTTGGTAGCCAGGGTTATGGAGGCTATGGTCATGAACAAAATTACAGAGGTCAAAAGATTTGGCAGCATTCCAAGGACTCTCCCCATCCTTTTCACTCGCTTGAATAGTCACATTGAAGTCACCTATTACCACATATAATGGATTTCTTCACAAATTTCTCGAATGTGGACCAATTGGCTAGTTCGTGTTGATGCATCACAACTGATGTAAACACAAAGCAAAACATACGAAAATTCCTTTTCATTAATTTTGACACCAATACAGAAGTTTGAATGAAAAAACATGGGTTATAGGTATAATATGCCCCTCTATTATGACATTTTATCAAACATGTCCCTCTACTATTTTTTACATCAAATATGCCCCTGTACTTTCAAAAAAGGGTTATAGGTATAATATGCTCCTCTATTATGACATTTTATCAAACATTCCCCTCTACTATTTTTTACATCAAATATGCCCCTGTACTTTGAAAAAAGGGTTATAGGTATAATATGCTCCTCTATTATGACATTTTATCAAACATGCCCCTCTACTATTTTTTACATCAAATATGCCCCTGTACTTTGAAAAAATTATCAAATTTGCCCTTCTGTTAAAATTTCGATTAAAAAATTCGTCAATCATAGTTGAATTGAGATTTAGACGACCTGACATCGACAAATGGGAGGGAAAATGTCAGTTTTGTCCCTTGTTTTATTTCCCTGGGTCTTTTCAAAGTGAAATTATTTGAATGATTTGATTATACAAAAGAACCAAAAAAATTCTAAAGTGAATTTATTAGGGATATTTTAGTCATTTGTGTCGCCCAAACTATAATTCGGCCTTGGTTAACGGGTTTTAGATGAAAATTTTAACAAAATGGCATGTTTGATCATTTTTACAAAGTACAGGGGCATGTTTGATGTAAAAAATAGTAGAGGGGCATGTTTGATAAAACGTCATAGTAGAGGGGCATATTATACCTATAACCCTTGAAAAAATTATCAAATTTGCCCTTCTGTTAAAATTTCGATTGAAAAATTCGTCAATCATGGTTGAATTGAGATTTAGACGACCTGACATCGACAAATGGGAGGGAAAATGTCAGTTTTGTCCCCTGTTTTATTTCCCTGGGTCTTTTCAAAGTGAAATAATTTGAATGATTTGATTATACAAAAGAACCAAAAAAATTCTAAAGGGAATTTATTAGGGATATTTTAGTCATTTGTGTCGCCCAAACTATAATTCGGCCTTGGTTAACGGGTTTTAGATGAAAATTTTAACAAAAGGGCATGTTTGATCATTTTTACAAAGTACAGGGGCATGTTTGATGTAAAAAATAGTAGAGGGGCATGTTTGATAAAACGTCATAGTAGAGGGGCATATTATACCTATATCCCAAAAAACATTGAAGCATCAACTTTGGGGGACCAAGCTTAGACCAAACCACCTGATGCATTAATAGCATCTTCAAAATAACAATGGGAAGAACTAAAACCTAAACCCCGCATATGATGTGAAACGACTCTCCAACGCGATCGTGTCTCGAAAAAGAACACGAGATCCCGTTTATTCGAATGAACTAAACCTATAATGGTTTGAAATGTGAGTGTTGGTCCAATTCCTCTCACATTCTAGGTTAGAAACCTCATTTATCCGCTTGGGGCCACTCTAGGCTGGCTTCCTCCACCGTGTCATTATTCTCCGATGCTTCCACGAATTTCTTCTTTGGTGTAGGGGTATCCCCCACCTCACACTCCACCTCATCCAAAGGTCATTGTCAACCCCCCAATAGCAGGATCCATCATATTCAATCCATAATCATTCAACTTCTAACTCATCTTCTCTTCCTCTCTTTGGAGGAGTCCCACATACTCAGCAACTGCGTGCTCATCTTCGTCATTAGCAATGACCTGACCAGATTCAAAGGCAGCCACCATTTCGCGAACATGCCCCTTAGTGGCATGACGAGCCTTTGGTCCAGTTTCATCTGGAATGTGTTGTTTAACCGCAAAGCTATGGATTTTTCGATGCTTCCACGAATTTCTTCTTTGGTGTAGGGGTATCTCCCACCTCACACTCCACCTCATCCAAAGGTCGTTGTCAACTCCCCAATAGCAAGATCCATCATATTCAATCAATACTCATTCAACTTCGAACTCATCTTCTCTTTCTCTCTTTGGAGGAGTCCCGCATACTCAGCAGTTGCTTGCTCATCTTCGTCATTAGCAATGACCAGACCGGATTCAAAGGCAGCCACCACTTCGCGAACATGCCCCTTAGTGGCGTGACGAGCCTTTGGTCTAGTTTCATCTGGAATGTGTTGTTTAATCTCAAAGCTATGGACATCATCTTCCGAGAGAGAGGTCTCGGAAACCAATTCATCTTGGTCTTCCACATAGGCCTCATCCCCCAAACGAGTCAGCGAAACTCTCAATGGTGAGGTTGATTTGATCACACCAACATACCCTTCATGTGAACTTTCCTCCCGGCCCTCCTGATCTGAAATCATGGTGGGTACAAACACCCTTTCGGTCCTTCTCTTCTGGATCAAGTCTTCTTCCTCCATAGTAGGGTTTTTTGCGCGTCGCACTGGCAGATTCAGACGTCGAGAGCGACCAGCCTAGCCGTGATCACCCCGTGAAGAGGCCTCCATGTTCCTGGTTTTAACTTTGGACGTGATCCGAGCACTTAGATGAGGCTTAACTGTTTGCCTGCCATTCCTGGTCTCGCTGCCTTGCACAAGGTCCGCCCTCTCACGTCCATGCATACACTATTTGGTGAAAAACTTTATGCATACACTACTTTGTTTACACTCGAATGAATGACCTTGAAGTTGAATACAACAAAAGAGTAGAGGAAAATTATCACTTAACTACTATTGTCTTTGATATTGTTGTATAATTCTTATAAAATAACTCATTGCAGTCTTCTTCAACTTTACATTGGCAAGTTTCAATTAGGCTAAATTACAAGTTTGGTCACTCAAATTACATAAATCTTTCACGTTTGCCACTCGAATTACTTTTCTTTCTTATTGACCACTAACTTTACGAATCGTTTCACCGTTAATCACCGGCCGTTAGTCTCCGTCAAACATTGTTAAGACCGTCAGATTTTTGATGACATGGCAAACAGAATTGTTGACGGGGCCTGATATGTCAATTTAAATAAAAAATAAAAATAAAAAAGTTTTCCACCTCATTCTCTCCTTAAATCCACCGCAACCTTTCTCTTCTCCTTTCTCTTCGCACGATCCACAGTCCGACGAACGACGACCACCACCCTCCTCTGTTCAGGCCGGAGCCGCTCCAGACCCGCCTCACCAATTTCTTCTACAGCATAGTTCTTTCCCTCATGGCGACTAGAGTTCTGCATCTCTCTCTATCAACTAAAGAGGCTGCTCTTCTTGCTTCACCTCTTCACCGAACTTGCCAAAATAAACCACCCACACATACGACTCCTTTCCCTGACGACGGGTCCAAAAAAAACCCAATATCCAGGCGCTGGTCCCCACCAATTTCTCGAACCCATCGCGTCTATCGGAATCATTCGGTTCTCCGATCTGATCCTTCGCGAGTTCACGAGGCAATTTTGGGGCTCACGGAGCCTTGGCTTCCCAGCGACGCCAACATGGCGCCGATCCTCCTGAGCAACGATTTGCTTGAGGATTTCGATTGGAGGGAGAAAGGAGTGGTTAATCCTGTCAATAATCAGAGAAACAGATCTCAGCCGTAGCTGCTCACTCCCTCGCTCCGATTGAACTCCAAGCGTCGTTTTCCGCTGCGGCCTCCATCAGCGATCTTCCGCAGCCCAACATAAAAATACCCTCCCAGATCTCCCCGTCTCCCTCTTCATCGCCATTTTCCTTAGCTCCCAAATCTTGTCCTCCATAACCTTCAATCCACCTCTCTCACCTCCTTCTCTCTCACGAATCTTGATTCAACGCCTCGTTCTCCCTTTCCAGCACCATGATTCTCTTGGCGTACATGGAGGCGGTCGAGGTAATTGGCAACGTCGAAGTTGGTGGCGGTGTTAGGTCCCGTTCGATTGCCTGGATGTAGGCTCCGACGGTGAGAATGGGGTTAATTATTTTAGTTTTTTAAAATGACATGTCATTATTTTATGGTCGAGTCAACAATTCTGTTTGCCATGTCATCAAAAAACTGACGGAGTTAACGAAGCCTGACGGTCGGTGACTAACGGTGAAACGATTTGTAAAGTTAGTGGTGAATAAGAAAGAAAAATAATTTGGGTGACAAACATGAAAGATTTATGTAATTTGAGTGACCAAACGTGTAATTTAGCCGTTTCAATTAATATGTTTTTAACCCATTTTTTTTAATCAGAGTTGAAACAGATGAGATATAGTCGGCTAAATTTGTGAGAAATTGAAAAACTCTTGGCTATAGCTCTTGAGATTTGTGCCAGCTGTAATGAAAGGATGTTATGCACCAAAATTCCATCCTTTTTACTTGGTTGTTTGAAGATTGTACTGAAGCACTGTTTTCTTATTTAGACGATTCTCCTAGATTTAAGGTGGTATGATCTCTTAATTTTGTTATCGTTGTTCAAAAATAAAATCTATGTAAAAATTATCTAGCTAATGGTTATAAACTTTTGATTTCTGATCTCTGGATGGGTATTGTAATATCCATTTCATCGGTCTAAGAGAGAACCAATAGCTAAAAGAAAAACTGACGAATAAACTAATAATTAATTAGACAATCACTTATTATTTTGTATATGTTTTATGAAAAATATCAAATACAAAGTTATGATTGAAAATAAAGTTATAAATGAAAAGTATTTTATGTGTTTAAATAAATTTTTTTATAACTAAGTTAAGTTATTAAAAATTAGTTAATTAGCAAAGTCATACATATGAAAATTTGTCTCAAACACTTAACCTTATAATAAAAGAAAAAAAATGAATAAATTAAACTTTTATACAGACAAAAATCTTACCTAACTAAAATAATAATATAATAATTAGTTTTAAAAAGATTCCTACGAAATCTCTTTTTCGTACAATCAACAAAACCTCCGGTTTCTAGTAGAGTCGATTTTTTTTAATTAAGTGGACAAAAAAATGCCTACTAAATTTACTCAAAAGGCTCAAAATTCACAATTAACTAATTTTTCATGGAGAACCTATTTATATTAGTGTTAGGATGAATCAGAAATATAAACTTTCTTTCTTTTAATGTCGAACTTAATGAAAACTAGAAGAAAAGTACAAGATCCATATGGTTTCCTTACTAACAAATGTCGCGATAAGTCTATGGAGAGAGTATCTCTCAAAGTGTATTATTCATTGGTCACAAGAGTCATACAAGCATACATATAACTCGGCCGAATGAACATATACATACATGTCACGACGGTTTCTCTGCGGATCGAAAAATTGGAGAATTCGACAAAGCAAGAAAACAAAAACATGAACGAACATGACACACGATTTATGTGGTTCACAAGCACGATGTGTGTTAGCTAGTCCACGAGCAGGAGAGAGCCAGTTTCACTATACTTCAAGGAGATACAAATTATAGAGGAGTATGAGAAGTCTTCTGCATATGGTCTAACCCTAATCCAATATGGTAAAGGAAAACGATGAATGATTAGGCCAGAACAGAAACCCAAATAACATTGACCCCATACACTATGGTTCGAGGGCATTGCTAGATAGTCCTATTTAAGTCACACCAACAAATCTCCACCTTGACTTGAATCCTCTTCCTCTGAAATCTCTGATGTACTCTGATCCTTCTCTCCCTCATGCCCTCAATGCCCCTTAGGGCGGATTCACCCACTCAGAACATTCAACAAGTCCAAGCAATGTTGGAACTTGCCATGTGGAAGCATCTTCGTGAACATGTCAGCAAGATTGTCTGTTGTGCCAATTTTCTTCACCTTGATCCTTTTATCAGTTCTCAAGAAATGATACCTCACGTCTATATGCTTAGTCCTCTCGTGGTGGACTTGATCCTTGCCAAGCATATTGCACTCAAAATGTCACAATACACCACTAACTGATCATGATGTAGACACAGATCCCCAACCAGCCTCCTCAACCATATTCCCTCCTTAGCAGCTTATGTCAACACCATGTACTATGCTTCATTAGTAGGCAATGTCACTGTCGACTGCAGAGTTGCTTTCTAGCTCACCACAGAACTCCCAAGAGTGAATACATAGCTAATCATCAATCTACTCGTGTCAACATCATCAACATAATCTAAATCCGAATAACCAGAAACTAACACTCTGTACAAATTCCAAAGCTAATCCCTACATGAGATGTATCCTTCAGGTACCGAAAAATCCTCTTTACAATCTGGTAGTGTTCCTTCCCAAGTCATAAATCTGCTGACAACACTAACAGCATGTGCAATATTAGACCTAGTGCAGACCATAGCGTACATCAGAGTACCTACTACACTAGCATATGAGACTCTCGACATGCACTCCTTCTCAGCTTCAGATTGCGGTTCATAAACTGAGAATAGATGAACATTTCAAGCACTAGAAGTATCCAATATCTTTGTTGAAGACATGCCAAACCTCGACAATATCTTCTAGATGTAGCTCCTAATGTTAATTGTAGGACTAATATGTTCGCCTATGCTAATCATTAAATTTTATATTATAATTTTTTTTGAAAAGGAGACCTTACCACATTCTATTAATACATGGAATGGATAATCATTAGAAATTTCTTGTAAGAAATATAACTCCACAATTTTATTTCGTGGCCATAAATTGAAGAAATGGGAAAGCCTAATAAGAATCGTCTCGTATTATTGACTCATGATTTTGCATTAAGAATTTCTAGGAAAAATATATATTAGTAAATAAGGATGTCAAAATGAGTCACTCTAAATTACTTTCTCAACCGAAGGCCAAGTATAACCAATGATCGGTCGTAGTATAGTGGAAGTAAAATAATAAAATTATCGAACCCTAGTGTCTTTAGGTGTACCATTACTCCGCTTTGGTTTGCTATCTAGCCGCACAAGATATGAGATTGAAAAACTAAACTAATCTGACCACTCTAACAACTACACTAACTAATTACAAGTAAGGAGCTCACTCAGGTGATGAATCCCCCTAGTCACTAACCGGATCTATAATTTACGATTCTCTGACTTGATTGGTTCTTCATTCACAAGGTGGAGAATCCTTGACTAGCCTTCTCTAGAACAACCGATCAAGGTGTTCGGCACTAGAACTCCTTCCAAGGGTGAGGTTCTCAATTCTCACACACAATTAAACATCGAATTGATTCACACTCTTGTTATCAATCCCCTACTTCCAATTCATGGTGCTCTAATTGACTTACTTAGATATTCTCTCATAGGTCAATAGCAAAATCAATTAATCTTGGTCAATGAAGAATTGAACATCAAGACATGCATATATTGGATATGAACATCAACAGTATTTAAACCCGCATGCTCGACTCAAGGCCTCATGTCATGGTTGTGACATTGACACAGTGACCACGTTATGAGGAATGCACCGCATCAGATGCACAAGTTATGATTGTATTTCCCATGTCACGGTTGAAACTGTGACATGTGTTGGCCAGCCGTGATGTGTGCAAAAGACTGTCGAATGTCATGGCCTTTTCTGTGAATGTCACTGTTTGGAACCGTAACTTCTGCAGTGCACGAATTTTGATTTATCTCCTGGAACGTAACTTTTTTCGAATCTCACGATTGGTTTTGTAAATGTGACCAATGCAGTTAAACTGCGATTTTACGTAGAAGTGGAAAAAGGGTAAAGTGTAGAATCAAAGCGTAAAAGTGTAAGTTTTTTACGCATATTGTAAAGTAACTAAAAATCTATTAAATACGACATATACTATGTAAAATATGAGTGCACATAATTTTGATAAGTTAATAAATACCTACAATTCATGTCTAAAGTAGAGCAACTCATAGCATCTTAACAATAAGTTCATAAACATACATTTTAACAATAAGCCACATTCCCCTCTATGCTAATAAATTTGGGAAGGGCCTACTAGTTGGTGAATTATATTACTATATTGAAGTCGAGAATGCATCCAAGTACCTGGTATGTATCTTTTAATCTCAAATATATCATATTGTTGGTGATTTACCTTGAAGATATATTTTTATAATTATTTTCATGAAAAGAATAGCCATTTAGTGACATAAAATCGTAAAGCGTTTTGGTGAACTAGAGCGTAAAAGTATAAGCTTTTATGATTTAAAACGCAATTTCGTCCGATTTTATGCACTAAAGATTTTATATGAAAACGAAAGCGTTTTGGTGGTCTAAAAGCGTAAAACCCTAAACTTTTAAGTTTTATAACGTGATTTTGACTACATTGAATGTGACGGCTTGGGCCGTGACATCCGTGCTCTGAACCATGACATCTACAACCTCCTTGTCATTGCCTCAGTTTTGACTTCAAATGGTCTAATCGTTCTTCACTATATTCACCTGCTAAGATATGAAATATACAAAACAACGTATAATCTAGTGTAAATCGGGCTAAAGAGCGATAAACACCAAGCCAAACGAGGATTGAGGGTCTAAACATTTATAATTAAGCCCAAATCAAAGGGCTCAAACTTTTTGAGCCTCAATTTAACTTTGTCGTGCATTGCAACACACTTTGGTTTCATAAGATTAAGGGCTCTATGTAATTAAGCACTATCTCATGGCTAGAGCCACTACAAAAACTGATATCTAGTCATAATATT